GGCACACATCCCTGGAGGCTAAAGAACCACTCTTCCTACAGTGTGGATCTCATGCATGCACAGTAAGGGGTTGGCTGTAAATTATCAGGAAGTCATATCCAGCTCCTGAACCCAAGATGACGGTGTGGATGAGCAGAGGCCCTCAGAAAAATCAGCTGTATGGAAGGTCTTCTCAAGTAAACACCACATTTGATTCTTTAATCTCAGCACTCTTCTTAGTAACGTTCTATGTCAACGAGGACAGAGGTCACACAGTTTTTGTACAGCTCTGAAACACTGTGGTACATTATTTGAAAGCATTATGTGTTTAATGTTAAGTTTACATGTTCTTTTTTTTGTTTAATTTTTTGTAACTATTATAAGACATTTGACTTATCAACAATACATGATTACCACCTATGACTTGCCTGCTATCTATCCTTGTCTATCTATCTGTCTATCTATCTATCTATCTATCTATCTATCTATCTATCTATTTATATATATTTAGTTTGCTCGGTACAGATTTTTAGCTTGTGATATCTTTTTTGACAGTAGCCTGTCTAATATCTCTAATATGTTACCATCAACACCAACAAGTAAATATTATAGCAGAGGCATTAGGTCATTACATTTTATGATTTAACATCTATATCCAATACACTTTTTTTCATCTTTCTAGAGTACTTTATTATAGTTGTTTTGATGTAAAAGGCACTAGGACCCTAGTTATAGCAATATGTACCTGTAGTGAAATAGGACACCTGTTGTACCATCAAAAGAAAAAAAAATGCAGTGAACTTTTAAATACATATCTAGCCATCTGTAAAAAAAATGTCTGCAGCACTTTCTGCTGTCATAAAAGTACAATAAATAATAACATAAAGAATGATATTATTGTGTACCGAAATTGTTTTCTGACAGTATAATATTTTGGGCTATCCAATTGCTGGTGAATAAAGGATTCCATATTTGTTTATTTTTGGCCCATCTGAAAAAGGATTTAGTATAGACAAGAACACCATAGTCTGTACTGACTGACAGAGAGTACATCACAATGTCTTTCTATAGAGTGATTAAAATTGGCCGGGAAGCTGGCTCAATGCTCCCTCGTCTCACTTGTGACGTGGGTGCATGGAACTGGCTTCCCAGCCAATCAGGAAGCCGGGCAGCGTGTAATGACTCGCTGCCTAGCTTCCTGACTGGTCGGGAAGCTGGCCAATTAGATAGCCAGACGGCGAGTCATTCCCCGCCCCCCCCTGCTTTCTGATTGGCCAGTAAGCCGGCTTCATGCTCCCTCGTCCCAATTAGAAAGCCGGGTGCTTGTAATGACATGTTGCCGGGCTTCCTGATTGGCTAGCTTCTTGATTCTGTGGGTGGTGGTGCATGGCCGTTCTTAGTTGGTGGAGCGTTCTTAGTTTCTACATTCATTCAATGCAGCTTTTACTAAGTGCAAGTTATGATTTTTTTGGTCACTTTATTGTATAAACTACCAAAAATGTCTATATCTATTAAGTCAGCTGACTGCACTGTTGAAGCATTATATTTATAGTTTAAAACTACTTGTGCTAATTCTTTGTATTCCATCCACTTCTGAAATGAGCTGTGCTTTTTAAGTTATGTTATATTTCAGTATATGAAAAATATGAAAATATAAAAATCGGCCATTAAAGTGATTTTCGCATCTCCTAATATAACAAAGTATATGTAGTCACTAAGCAACATGAGCATGAGGTATGTTGTTTAAAAGCTGAGAATTATGGTGGTCAAAGAGATATTGTTCTTGTTTATTTGCCTCAGAGGGACATGTTTCATGTTTTAGAAGATGTTATGGTTTGAATGTATTATCTTTGCATGGTATAATGAATGGTCTATATTTTAAAACTAAAGCCAACATGCACACAGGTAAAGTAGCAGTAGGTAGAAATGACTGCTTTACTGCTATCTACACATATTTGCTGGAATATAAGATAACTATTACTTTCAGAATATTTAACATTAATATAATAAATGCCTATAAAAAATTACGCCTAAAGTGTAGCAGAACTGTTTTTTAAAAAAATATATAAAGAATTTGATATCCACTAAATTGACTAGTGAAAATCCTAGAACACATAGGCTGATCAATAGACGCTGATACAGATAAAGATATAATGTTGACCATAGTTTTTGCATTCTTTTGTGAATTTTATTAAAACTAGCATGTCCGTTGGGCCATTTAACAATATACCTATGTCTTCCAGGAGGAATACATAGTCAATTCATTACTTTTATTAACTTTATTAATAGCATTAAAATATATAAACAAATATTAAACATTACCCTCATTAGTACCCCTTACATACTACACTCTGACAACATACATGTGAATGTATGCCATCAACCAACAAACATGACATTTTTTTTGTGTCTGTCTAATCACCCAAAAAGTCATCTAAATCCCAGAGATGATCCACTGAGCATGGCCACAGTCTAACATAATCCATGGGTGATCATGACCATGACCATGAGATCATGGGTGCACAATTAATAACATTTATGTATCTTAATCATAAACTTGAAGTTAGCCTCTTGAGTTGCAAACATTCATAATGTCCAATGTAGTATTTGTACAGCTCTCAGTCACTGTGGTTCATTTTTGGTGGTGGAACTCAGCTTATCGTCAACAGTAAGTACCATCATTCTGCATGTCTTCAATAATCATAGAATCATTATTTTCTTCTCACTAAACAAATGCTGTATATAAACAAAATGCAATCATTGTTTTAATCCTGCCAGATTTAAGAGAAACATAGTTAAAAGAAATAGATTTACATATTTCTCTTGAATAATGACCAAATTATTCTACATGCAATGTACTGACGTGTCTTTTGTAGGCCTTTTAACAGCATTAAAGTATGTTGAAATAGTAACTGTTCTATTTCATTGGGCATCAGTGGTCCACTGACTACAGGATTATAGACTATTCTAACAAAAACAATTGCAGAAACTCTATATGTAGTCTGCATTTTATAACTGCTCCAGTCTCAGAAATGTTCCTGTACAAAACTAGATGGTTAGAGGCAGAACTCTTTAAGTGTACAAAGTAAGATATATTTTCAGTTAATATGCTCATATTTTCATTATATCATATCACACTGTCACCCTCAGTGTTCGACCACAATTTTTTCCACAATGTAGTTATGATATGCATTTGTTTATATCATATACATAAAACATATTGCATAGGAGCCAAACCAGATTATTTGTATTTTTATTTTTTGAAAGACGTTTCCATTGCTGGAACACGAGACAACAATTATTTTAATTAATCAAAAACGTACGCTAAAAGACCAACAAAAAGGAACAAAGTTTGGATGTCTCAGTCATACCCTTTAATTTGCACTTTTGGGCTAGGAAAATTCACAGTGTACCATATTGTTTTGGTATGGCTCTCTATCACTGTGGAATATTTTTGGACATGGAACCCAACTCATTGTCAACAGTAAGTAATGAATATATTTCCACATATCATTAAAAAGTTGGAAAGTTAACTTTCCGATATGTCATGGCCATTGTTCTACCTCACTGGACATCAGCGAGTTACCGGGTTGATTTACTGCAGGAATAGCGACTGTACACTAGTACAGTAAATGTTTTCACTACAATGTGTATGTCCACTTTGCAAGGTGAATGTTAGTGAAAAAGATAAAGCTGTGCTCACTTTAAATACCCAGTCAGATGTGAGGTAAATACAAAATTGAATTTTTACTAGCATTGATTGGGTTTTCAAAGTGAACATAGCTCCCTTATTCACTAATATTCACTGTACAATATGAATAGCCACTTTTCTTTATTAAACCAACTGCACTGAATATAGGTTTATAAACTACGAGTACAATGAAAATTGGAGAATCTGTGGATAAACCCTGCAGCCCATATCTGCATCTGACTGCTCCAGTCCCAGCAATGTTTTTGTTGTCTCTGCGCAATACAGTTTTTGTGCAGCACTAAAACATTGTGGTGGATGTTCGGAGGTGGAACTCAGCTAATTGTACAGAGTAAGATTTATTTTTCACTAAATATTTTCATACTTTAATTATGTCTTATCACATTGTTATCCTCAGTGATCAACCAAAAATATATGTTTTAGGTATTTTTATATTTATATATATATATATACATATCAATTTATCCTATTATCCCAATTTATAGCATAGAATAAAGGGTCCTAATCTGCATACATTTGCCTGTGTTATAACATAAATGCTGTAAAATTAGAAAACGGTCATTGTTTTTATATTTGTGTGCATATGACATCTCAATTATTCATTTTTACTAACTACTTGCATTAAATCTTAATGTCCCTTATTCCACACTCATCATCTGTGTATAAGTGGCTCTATGAAGACATTAGTGACGCACCAAAATATGGATAGATAGATAGACAGACAGACAGATAGATAGTTATTTTTATTCTTCTGATAACACATATTTGGAGGGGGTTTAACTTTTTCCTGGTAGGGTGTGGATGGCCTATCTAGGACTCACATCTAGATTTTCCCTTCAGATATCACATTTATTTTTTGATCTGAGCACTTTAAAGTGATCCTGTTATGACAAATGTGTAGGTGCTGCCATTGCTGACTTTGAAAATCTTGTTTCTCTGGCTTTGATGCTTTGGCTTCAGTGTATTCATAAATCTCAGACCAGAAACATATATAGAGAAAAGGAATTCTGACACTCATTTACAGCATGCTTGTTCTAGATCTGTGATGCAAACGTATTGAAGCTACACAGCCAGGCAACTAGTGTTTTCAAAAGAGGACAAGCAATAGCAGCCCCATACCTTGCTCATAACAGAGTCACTATATTAATAATATATGTTTATCAAAGGGAATAACTTACAAAATAAAAATCTCCCAGCACACTCACCAGCTAGTCAGCAAAGACGCAGATAACTTGTTTAAAATGTGACCTTGTTATGTTCTTTTAAATTTTATATCTCATTTCTAACTTCAACTTTTGTCTTTATTCAACAGCCGGTGAAGTGAAGGCACCAGATGTGTTTCTCTTTGGTCCATCTAAAGAAGAGTTGGAGAAGGACACAGCCACCGTGGTCTGTACTGCTGGTGACTACAAGCCCCGGCCTGCAACAATGGAGTTTCTGGTGGATGGTCAAAACTGGACGAATGGAGTCTACACATCACTAGTCACCAAACAGGGGGACAACTCATACACAGGAAGCAGTTATCTCACCATGACCTCCTCTGATTATAGTAAACATAAGGAAGTCTCCTGCAAAGTGACACATCAAGGCAAAGAGTTTATCCAAACACTGAAGAGATCAGAGTGTTTCTAATATTCAGTCATGTCTCTGTGTATGCCCAAGTGATAGAGTCAGTTGTTTGTTATAAATGAATGCAATGTGAGGATAAATGGTTCTTCTCCTTAAACTGGATTGTGGCTCTTCTACACTTTTCTATCATCTTTATGCTTGCATTTAAAGTCCCTCAAATGTCCCACTTGCATAGTGAAATGCATGGATTATGTAATGTTTCATTTGTTTGCCCTCATGAAGCACCCAATAAATGACTATATACATGTTTATGAAATCTGTGGTATTTATTCATCTCTGTGCACACATGTATTTATAAGAGTACTGATTCTAAAGATCTGGTACACACACACACAAGGAATGGCCACTCACATAAAATAGATCAAGTTAAAGGTCTCTTAATTATAAAGCAGTGAATGTGACTTTTATAAAACATTCTTGATGATGAACTGATCACTGTCATTGACAACAAATGCAGCTGGAAGATTCTCCCACAGTGAATGTTTGCTGAATGTCAGCTTCACTGCTTTAAAAAATACATCTTAGGTTGAATTATATTATATGCAATATTGCCACAAGATACTATAAATATGTTTGATACTACAACAAATATTTATCTCTCTACATTAATCAAGCTACATCCTGCCAGCCATAGGAAAATTAAATATTACAAAACTTTATTTAAAGCTATGTGGAGGATAAAGCCAACACGCATATGGAGATATTTAATTTACCCAAATATTGTGTGTGTATCTGTATGACCTTCGCAAAGAATTTAGACTGAAAGCTCTTCTGGATGAAGGAATCTATTTAATCTGGAAAGTGTTGTGGAACTGTTTTTTTAACTAAATAACCAGCATTTAATATCCAGTAAACGGGCTAGAGAAAACCCTAAGAGGACACATAAGCACATACACATATTTAAAACCGCTCTGGGTTATACTTTACTCTGAAATAAATCATATAGAAATATGAAGCCAAATCTCTTCATTGTTCATTGTATATATCTCAATGAACATATTTAGTGTAGTCATATTATCACATTACAGAGGTGTTGTCCCAATGAGGAAACATGCTTACCATAGTATCAAGGCATGACATTACATAAATTATTAAAAGAAGAGGTCATCATTCACCGTTCTCCATGGCAGGAGCCATGAACCCCTCACCCCTCCACCAGAGTATTTAGCAGTGGTGTCCCTAGCCTTTTTGCTGCCTGAAGCTTCCCGAGGGCAGGGGGAGGTTGAGTGATGCTGGCCTCTGCAGGCTCTGCATTTCCCCGCCTGGTTCGTCATCATGCCCAGCTCCTGGCAACAAGTGATGTCACTGGTTGTCGGAGCTGGGTGGGGCGCCGGCCAGAGTGTCCCACCTTGCTAAGAGCTGAGCGGGGAGATGTATATGGCCCTTACACATCTCCCCGTCCAGCTCTTAGCAACCTGGGACGCTCTAGCTGAAAAGGGGGCTACAGGCACACTGAAAAGGTATTGCAGAGTGGCCATGACACTCTGCCTGCCATCCCCCATGTGACCCAAAGAGATGCCACCTGAGGCAACAGCCTCGGGCCCCCACATTAAAGGCCTTGGTAGTAAGGGAAAGTTCTTTTTGTGTAATGATAAATGGCACTGTCTCATGATACTGTGTCATGGATCGGGGCATCCCCATAATGAGGCAGCCTGAGGAGTGGGGGGGGGTCAGAAATTTGAGGATCTGACACTGCCAGAAATATTAATTTTCTGGAAGTTTGGAGGTTTTGTGATGATTTCTTTGCTTAGAAGTATCGAATTGCTCGAACAGACAGCATTTATGTAAGTACACTTAAAGTGAAAATAAACTCAGGAGCCAAATCATAAAAATGCATTCAAGTACCTTACCTATTATCAAAAATGTGGCTTTTTTGTGTATCACTCGGCTGTAGATCCCCAAATCATCTCTGAATTGGTGCTGACACTGTCTTTCCTTCTGGAGGGTGGCTACTTTTGTTCCCCATGGTCCCTGTGTGTGTTCCAAAGTAGCCGCCACTCCAAGCTCACTCCAATGATGGACTACAATCTCAAGTTTAGTTTGCATTGAGATTGCGGTCCATCACGGGAGTGAGCTTGGGACCATGGAACTAGGGACCATGGGGAACAAAAGTAGCCACCCTCCAGAAGGAAAAACAGTGTCAGCACAAATTCAGAGATGATTTGAGGATCTACAGCTGAGTGATGCACAAATAACCAACATGTTTTGTTAATAGTTAACATATTTAAATGCATTTTTAGATTTAACTCCTGATTTTAGTGTCACTTGTGTTCAATGGCAAGGTAGAATGTGCTGACAGGGAATTTTTAAGTTATGCAACTATTTACAGCATACATTGTCTAAATAAGTATCCACCATGGGGACTTATGTCACATACCCCCCAAAGTCATCTTCCAGCTAAATATTGGTGCTAGTTTTTCAGTATCTGGATCACTTATAACTAAAGTAGACTTTAAATGGTTGTTAACTTCTCCCCTGCTTATCGTTTTCCCCCCAGTTCCCTGACTGCAATTACTAGCAAATCCCAGCAGTATTTTTATTTTATTTTTAATTTAGTAATGCATTTTTTTAAATTAAAATTGCAAAACTAAAAAAACATTTTTTGTTGCATTTGGAAAAAGGTTTACCATGCTTTATGATAGAACTGTAATTGAATGTCATTAAAAACAAGACGCATTGTTGAATAAAATGTGCACTTTTTATCTACAGTAATATTTGCTTGTTTTAAAACTAACACTCATTAACCTCTTGCCGTCCGCCCGTAGTAGAAAAACGGACGGACGGCACAGATAAATATTTTTTTGCATTTTGTTACATTTAAAAAAATATAAAAAGACAATATTGCCAAGAGAAAGCATTGGATGTTTAAAAAAAAAAACACATATGTATTTCTTTGTAATCTTAAGTACTGACACAGTTATTGCCAAATCATTAGGCCCATAGTGGGAATGTAAAAATTGCTCTGGCCTATAAGGAGTATGCAGGTGCAGCTGCTGAACGTCCTTTGGGGACAGTGACTAATGTGAATCATCTATGTATTGTGTATAATATGCTATGAAAGTTGTTGTTTTGAATTTACATTAGGAACATTTAATATCCACAGTACTAGCTAGAATAACCCTAAGTGGCCACAAAAGAAACTGATATAGATGTATTAAATATCTTGTCTTACTTATGATGGTTAAGCACATCTAAAAGGTAAACTCCTTCTGTCTTTGCAGTATTGAGCACACCATTAGGCTTATTCCGTAAATGATGTAAAAAAGCATAGCCCAAGCGCAAAGTATAGTAACTCACAGCAATCAACCAGAATGCATTTCACTGACGTCAGACCAGAACAAGAGGTAGTATCTTGGGATGCATGCACTGCTCCCTGCAGTTACACAAACTGCTTCCTGCATTTCACCAGAGGTTTCTATGTATTCCTTGAGCAGTAGTGAGTTGATCTCCCACTTTGTGGTGCCCACATACTGTTATTCCAGGGCTGGCGTCAATCGGAAGAGCCAGCAACATAGGATCTGTGGAACCTCTGCTCTCAATGATCTTTATAGATTTCTGTAATGAGGTCATTC